TATAAAGATACATTTTTACAATATATTTACACATTAGGATATTTGGATGTAGATGGAGATTTTATATTTATATTTGTGAAATATTCTGTTACAGGTCACATAGGTTCATTACCTTTAGCATTATTTGGTCTTTATTATTATTTTGGTACTTGCATATTGATGGGATGTCAACTGTGTCATGGTATCTTTGTGCCTCATATTCTAATTGGAAATATTTGGGGAAGAATGATTGCAGAAACTTTAAATAGATCTTATCCGAAAACAGTAATAATGTTTTTCTGTAACTTTTAAATTATTAGAACTTGAATAGAAATTTACTTATTGCACTGAAAATTTTTCATAATTAAAACAAAATATTCATTAGAAAAAAGTTAAATAAAAAACCTTCATTGAATTTGTTTTTATCACTTAATGTATTATTCTAAAATGTTATCCTTTGAATCATCTCATCAATGAATTCTATGTAAAGTAATGGAGGTTAAGTACAAATTTGATTTTACAAAGTCTAACTTTAAATAACTGTAATTTTTTTATTTTTAGAACTAGAGTTTTCGTAGTTTTGTATTTATAAAAAGATGTTAGACAATGAAATAAAAAAAATCTATATTTCTGTAAGAGAAAAGTAAATATTTTGTGTATTGTTTTATATGGAGAAATCCCTGAAATTTTTAAAAACATAACACTTCACATTATAAGTATTGAAGTCAATAAGTTAGCATCAGCTATTTAAAAGAGTTTAGTATTTTAATAATTGGACTTACAAGATTTTAGAAATAAACCGTCGATTTCCAGAAATTAGAAAGGAAAATTTGGCCTCTCTTCATTTATGGAACTAAATTGATTCTAGAGGAAACAGTTCGATAGATTGTAAATTTTAGAGTTTCTGATTATACAATGGACGAAGAATAAAAGTTAATCTTCTGTGAATAGCGAGCATCATAAGAAAATTATTAAATATTTTACAAACTAAATAAATTTCATGAACATAAATAATGAAGTAAAGTTCTTGGTATAAGAAGGAACATATTCCTGGCACTATCTGACAAATTGTGTAAAAGTGTAATACTAATGAATCATTATTTAATTTTTAGTTATTAAAGGATTATTAATTTTTTTTTTTTGCAGGTAGATTGGGCTAGACCAAATAAATTTGCTCTTTTATGTGGGGCTGCACAACTCTGTGGAACTCTCAGGACTACGTTCACCATCTGTGTAATGATGTTGGAATCTTGTAACAATGTGACGTTGGGCATCCCTATTTTCTTAGTTGTGTTTACTGCAAGATTTATTGGAAACTGTATAAATTTGGTAAGTGAAATCTTTAACTATTAAAAACATGGTACTCTATGTCTTTTTGATTGATATGTTGTACTAACCACAAACTTCTCTTTTCATTTCCAAGACATAGGTCCTGAAAATAAATCACTGCTTTTTTTATATCACTTTCTAGACTCAATGTTCTTAATTTTTCTTCCAGTTTTGCAGTATAGGAGGGCCCATTTATTGGGTAATCTAAAGCTTGTATATTTAATGTTTAGTTGCTCTTTTTTCTAAATAATTTTTGTATCTGCTATTAATGACAGATTATCGTTGCCAATTTCTGCACATCTTCACTTTAATGTTGACAAAATACTGCCTTAATTTTTCTTCCAGTTTTGCAGTATAGGAGATCCTCTTTATTGGGTAATCTAAAGCTTTATATTTAATGTTTAGTAGCTCTTTTCTCTAAATAATTTTTGTACCTGCTATTAATGATAGATTATCGTTGCCAATTTCTGCACCTCTTCACTTTAATATTGACAAAATACTGCCTTAAGCCACAATCATGGATGAATTAGTCAATAATATGTTTTGTTTTTTTAGGTTCGAGAAGGTTATTTTGTGTATCCTTTTGTGAGTGAAGAAAGATTTTCCCACTTGCATATCATTATCCACAAATTGATAAGGTGTTTTTCATTTCTTACGCTCTCCTCTCCATGAAGTCTTAGGGTACTGTACTACTTGTTCTTGCATAAAAGTCAATTATACTTTATCAGATAAGGTGACTCTGGTGACCCATGGACCTAATTAATAACCCCAGAACAACCTGAGACTGAAACTCCGCCAATGGAAATAGTTATACTAGGACCACAGCTAGTCCCAAGCCTGGATAAATGAGGAGGGTTGATTCATGGGCCAACTCCCCATGAATTGTAAAAATCTCCCTGTTATGAACACTCAACGAAGCCTCGAATGTATAATTGATTTATGAAAATGAGATATGGACCTCGGAAATGGATATATAAAATTGGAACCTGGTACGTAAGTACTTTATATAGAGCTGCAGCTCTTAAAGAGCTTACTGATTTGTTGCAGAAAGCCTCTCTGGGCATCTTGGCAATACAGGAGATGAGATGGACTAGAAAAGGTGATATCAAGGGCAAGAATTTCAAAACGCAATATAGTGGAAGCGAAAATAGGCATGAATTTGGAGTTGCATTTATGGTTGTTAATCGAATAGAATCCTCAAGCCTAATAACTTCCAAGCAATTAAGGAAAGGCTATGCAAAACTACACATTAATGCCTCCACATAAGAGAAGTACGAAGAGCAGAAAAATACTCTTTTTTTGAATAATTGGAAGATGCATTTAGTACTTGTCCCAGTTACGATATGGAAATCATCAAAGGAAAAGGAGCTGAGACCTTCCATAGGAGTTCATAGCTTCCACCATAGAATTAATGACAATGGATACAGAATGGTAAGCTTTGCAACTTCAAAATCCATGGCTGTCATGAGCACTATGTTCCTTTATAAAATGTTCATAAAGAAACATAGCATTCTCTGGATGGCATCACAGCAAGTCAAATTGATTACTTGATGGTATCCTCCGGAAATTTTAATTGTGAAAATGATGTAATATCATATACAGGATATGATGTTAACATGGATCATTACCTTGTTATGTTGAAACTCCAACAAAGGATAAAATGCGCTGCAAAGAAAACAATACAAGTCCGATACAAGCAGTGGAACACAGAAGGCTTAAAGACAGAATAAATGACAACTAAGTTTTCGGAGAAGTTTCATGAGATCGTCATGAGCAGGACAGTTGGTGAAGCTCCAGCGACAAGTGAAAGCAGATGGAGATGTATCAAGGTAGGATTAGCCCTGCCTGCCAAAGAAATATGTGGAGAAAAAAAGAATACATCCTTGTAACTATTGGCTTAACGAAGAATGTGAGCAGGCAATTCAGAAACAGAATGAAAAAAGATTAATGTGGATTAGTCGAATGACACAGCTGAGTTACAAGGAGTACAAAGATTCCAGGATGCACATGAAAAAATTAGTTAGAAACAAGAAGAGGGAAGCATTAAGGAAGTAGATTAAGGGAACTGAAAACTCAAGAAATAGAAATGAGTCCCGCATGTTCTACAAAATGGTGAATAGCATTAAATGTGGACTGACCAGACTTAATCAAAGACGACTATGGCAACATACTAATGCTAGAAGAAGAAGTGCGAGAGAGAAAGGTGGCAGCAATATTTCAAAAGCTTACTGGACCCGAGAGAAGCAGAGGACTGTCTGGAAAACCATGTACAATTACCAGTGGGTATTAATGATGAAGATTCGGAAACAATTCCACCCAATGTAGAGGACATTGAAGACATTTTTTATAAACTAAAAAATAATAAATCAACCTGTAATGATGGACTCCGAGCAGAATTGTTTAAAGCAGCACATCAAGAAGTCACCAGTGAACTACAGGAACTACATGAAGTTCCCATAGCTCAGATATGGGAAGAGGAGACGCTACCTAAGGAATGGAATGAGGCTGTATTAGTGCCTGAATACAAGAAAAAGGGAGATCCAACGGTATGCAGCAACTATCGAGAGATTAGTTTGCTTAACATTGCGTATACAATTTTTCCATATCTCTGTACAACAGGCTCCTTCCATATGTTGAACAGATCTTCGCCCTGAGGCAAATATTTGAGAATATGAAGGAATATCAGCAGAAAATTTGGATGCTGTTCATTGATTTTTGGGCTGCCTAGTAAACTAACTTGATTAGTAAAATACACAATGGTGAGCACAATCTGCTAAGTAAAAACCCGTGGGTTATCAAAAACCTTTTGCAGTGGAAAGTGGCCTAGGACAGGAAGGACCCAATAGATCCTCTCCTGTTTAATATTGCTCTACAAGCAACTATAAATAGAGCAGGAATAAATCAGGAAGGAACAATATTTACAAAAATAAACCAAGTTCTGGCACATGCAGATGATGTCGTCATTTTCGGTAGATCCCTTCAGAACATTAGGGTGGCTTTCGAAGCCATGGATGTCAAAGCAAAAAAGATCGGCCTGCATATTAATGAGGAGAAAACGAAGTATTGGGTAAGAAGTCACTTGACCAGAGACAGACTCACTTTGTAATGGGCCCCTACAACTTCGAAGTAGTCAGAAGCTTTTCTTAATTTGGCTCTATCATCAAAGATAACGAGAATGAAGAAGAGGTTAAAAGCAGAATAGCAGCCTATTTCTCCATTTTAAAGCTAATCAAAACCAAGCTTGTTAGCCGTAACACTCAGTTTATACTTTACAAGACACTGATAGGGCCAATTGTCACATATGGTGTATAAATGTGGACCCTAAGCAATAAAAGCATTAACCTGCTTTGAAAGGGTAATTCTGAGGAGAATCTTAGGGCGCCTATGAGAGAATGTTAATTGGCAACAAAAAAAAAAAAAAAATAGTGAGTTGTTCAGGCTCTACTAGGAATGAAGCATCTCCTCAGGACACATGAGTATATGCCGTCTAGAGGTAGGGGATGGATGGAGCCATACCTAGTCCAAAGACCTTGATAGGGCTCCTGGCTCTCCTTTTCCCCCATGACAGGAAGGTGAGAATGCCACCATATAGTTACATCCTCGGAAAGTACTAAATCTACTTCTCTAGCTGCTGTCCCTCAGCAGTATGCAACCGGAGAGCTGGAGTCATGCAGCTGAGGTGCATCTAACATATGAACACTACGTCGACGATTGACAAACCGCGAGCAGACTACCAGCCCGTGGTACCATTTTTAGACATAAGGTCCCAGAAGCCTTGAATGGTCACAGGCCCGTGGTATATCCCTACGCTTTCCCTATCCAATGATAGGAGGGGGCTTATCACCTATCATGAGAGAGGGAGGGCTCCGTACCCTCACTCCTCTCTTTGGACATTAAATCCAATAACACAGCAATTATTATACATGCTGTATCCTTACATCATCTACCTCACACTTCCGTTCCAAAATTTCATTCTCCCCATTCCATTTTTCTTTGGTAAATCACAATATTTTTCTAGGTTATATAGTTACGTATAGATCAAACAAATTAAGAAATCTATATAACTCCTCCCATAGATTAAAATATTGCTTCAATTATTAATAATTTTTTATTTGACTGATAAAATCTTTTAGAAGACAATACAGCTGATGTAGAAGAACTCTTTACTTCCAAAACCTAGTATACCTAGTAGCACTCTATTTATTAGTTTGCTATACATTGGCTTTTTATCACATGGCTGGCAAAATTTTTATAATGAATACTAGAGATAAATATGATATAATTGTCCAATTTTTTTATGCATACACTTATGTATTGCTAAAGTATATGTTTTAATACACATAAAAAAAGTATATGTATATTTATATAATTAATTTTTTTCAGCCAATGTTACTCAGATTAAGTATGTATATGGGAATTCCATTACTAGAGAGAGAACCTCCTCCTCTTCTAACTCACATTAAAGTAAAAGACATAATTTCTTCTTCTCAAAAGCCACTAATCACATTACCACTAGTCCCAAGTTATCATACTATCTGGGAAGCCTTGTCTAAGAATACTCATAATGGGTTTCCCATTGTTGGTAGTGGGTCGAGTTCTAAAGAAGAAAAAGTAAGTTAATTTATTTTCTAAAGCCAGAATTATTAAATTATCAGTGTATCTGTTAGTAAATGTATGCAAAATATTATTATCATGCTGCTCCACTCATTATCTAAAAAAAAAGTCTTTATTTACTGTTTGATTTCTCATTTTATGCTCTTTCTAGCGTTCATCAATACAATAAAACAATGAACAGGGGTGGAGCACTTTATTACACTTAAAATATTAATACTAAGCACAACATATATAACTTCCATACTTACCCAAGCTACAATGTCTTGGCGTCCTCCTGCCAAAATCCAGTGTTGCCATAATCCACTTGCCAAATACATGTAATAATATTTATAGTTAATAATAATAGTAAGTAATCCACAGCACCCCTTCCCCCTAAGGAGGAAAGCAACCATATATTTTACATATGTCTCCTCACACGGTTATTACCATAAGTTATGTCTTTAGTATTTGTTAGGTATGGATTTTATACATGTAAATTATTAGAAATAAAGCTATTATTACTTTACATATGTAAGAAACATTATGGTGAATATAATAGAATACAAATGAAAGAACATGGTAAATTAAATACATAATATAAATTAAGAGTCATATTATTCAAAATCTGTTTTGATAAAAAAATGTTTATATGTACATTTTCTATGGACAATCCTCTCTCCTAAAGAAAGTTTATTTTGCAAACCATCACACATCAAAGTCATTCACTAAAATGAGTAGGTGGTCGGGAAAGGCTGAGAAAACAAGTGTCTACCAGTATGAATATAGAGGAAAAGTGGAAAAATCTTAAAGATATTCTCAGAGAACTAACAGAAGATATTATAGGCACCACACCAAGAAGAAACCAAAATGACTGGTTTGATGATGACTGCGTTAGGGCTACTGAAGAAACAATAATGTCAGACAGAAAATAATCCAACGGAGGACCCGAAAAACATCTGAAGATTATAATGTCAAAAGAAAGGCTGCAAAGATCATACGCAAGCAAAAGAAAAGGATTTATGAAAATAAAAAGCTGGAAAAACTTCAGGAAGATTTTGCAGCTAAACGAACCAGAAAATTTTATAAAAGCATGAAAGAATTTCAGAATGGCTATATACCCAGGCTGGGATTCATCAAAGATAAAGAGGAAAGTCTAGTAGGAGATAAAATATTTGTTTTGGAAAGATGGAAGCAGTTTTTCGCAGAACTATTAAACCCGAACACAGCATCATCAATTAATAAAGAAAAAGTGCACCATTATGAAAGAGACTCGATGGTGTTGGAGGAAGAAGAAATACCATCAGAGAGATAGGAAATAGTGGAAATAATCCGAGCACACCGTAATAACAGAGCTCCTGGAATAGACAGTATTCCGAATGAGGTTGTGAAATATGGTGGTGAGACACGGGTGGAGGAGATTTACAACCTTATGTATGACATCTGGACAGAAATGAAGATGCCACAGGACTGGAATGTGGCAGTTTTTTGCCCATTACATAACAAGGGAGACAGATTAAACTGCTAAAACTATCGAGGTATCGCCCTCCTGTCCTGTCTGTTAAGTTAAGTTCAGTATTGCAGAAGGTCCTTTTAAATGATGTTAGGTGATGAGAGTTTTAGAACATCCTGAGTCAATTTCAAGTTCAATTTGAATCTTATTAATTAAAATTTTTGTTGTAAATAGATCTCTACAAGCTGTTGATACCCTGAAAACACTTTCACCCACAAACTTTCTGTCTCTAACTCTTAAAGGTGCATTAGACGATGCAGCAAGCCAGTTCAGTTGTCCTAGACTTTCACCAGTATCCAGTGTATTACCCGGTTGTCTGGATGAATAACTATAAGGTTTAGAACATGTGGGATCCGATCAATTGGCTACAATGAAATTGGAAGTGTTGGGGTCTTCATCTTCATGATTTTGGGAGGTTAAGTTAAAAACATTACTGGTTCGACTCATCTTCTGTTTATAAACTTTGGCAACATGACAAATCCTTCCACATTTCTTGCATTTCAGAGTGAGCTTGGGAATAGAAAATTCTTTTACAATGTGACCTCACATTTAAAGCTTAATTATTGACGTAGTTTGCTCTATTCGAAACGGAAACTTTATTAATTTTTTATTTGACTGGTCTCCTAATTTCTTGCACATCCATCTTGGACCTCTCCCATGATTTCACAATGGCTAAGGCAGTTGAAGATGTCAAGTCCTTCATGGCAAACAATCTTGTCTGAATATCTGGATTATTCAATCCACAGACAAATTGGTATAACACTATTTTGGTGGCTAAATCTTCATAATCACAAGATTTCGCCATTCATTTAAGTTCAGTTATATTAGAAACTCCAGTTTCTGTGGTTAGTTGCTTCCTATTGACAAACTGGGTATAACTCACAATCGGATTTAATGCAGGGGTGATTTTTACTTACCTATGCATGTAATGTATAGTAAGGGTAAATATTATGTACAAGCGATCGTGAAAATTTTCAAGTCTGAGTTTTCAATGGAAATACACCTTTTGATGTATCCTGAGTCCAAATAACCAAGTCCTGAAAAATGGTCTGTGTGTCTGTGAACACTCTAGCTCAAAAATGAAAAGTCGTACGAAACTGATATTACATACTTAAGATAGGTATAAGCCTTAGATGTCCTAGCAACTTTTCCCTTAAAATCGGCTCACCGGAAGTGCCACTTTATATCAACGCTGAAACACATTTTTACAATTTTCTCAAAAATGGCTCTAACGATTTTGATTAAACTCAGTGTATCATTGTATAATTAAGTGGTCTTTAATATCATTTAGGTCTTATTCCCGTTGATGTCACTTTACAGGGCTTAAATGCCCAATGTTAATGTACGTCTTCCTCTAAAGTACCTTTAATATGGTTCAGTTACGAAAAAATGCTAACCACAACTTTTGAAAGAATTCGATTATTGAATGAAGGATAAAAAAATAAAAATGCTTATCTAGGTTGAAAATGAATCTCCGGAAATACTAGTCAAAAGGATACGTATAATATATCGTAGGAAAGCAGAGAATTTTAGAAAAACAATTGTGGCGAAAAAATTATAAATAATAATCTTTTAAAACTAACATTATTTAACACAAATCACATGTTTTTCAAGGAAATTAATTGAAATTTACTAACTAAATGTGAACTTTTAAAATGTTTCTAAGTTTGAAAGGAGTATTTAAAATCCATTTAACGAAGGCAATGACATTGTTAAAAAAAAATATTTCATTGTACTTGTGTGAAAGAAGAAGTAAAATATAAAATCATTTCATGGATGTAGAAAACATATGTTTATGACCTTAAATACATTTACCGTAGTGTAGTAATTATAGATCTTAAATTATATTTAAATAATTAGGTATCAACGTTTATTCCGAAAAAATTTCATGTAACTTTTTAGAGAATTAAATTAGTGAATAATTTGTAGAATTTCCCCTTTGTGAAATCCCAACATTATCATGTCTTCCAATAAAGTACCTTTAATTTGGTTTATTATAAATAATAACTATTTATCATTATTAAGAGTTGTGGAAAAATGCTAAATATAACTTTTGGAGGAATTTTATAATTAAATAAAGGAGAAAAAAAAAGAAAAATACTTATTCAGGTTGAAAATGAATACTCGGAAATAATAGTCAGAAGGTATATGTATAATATATCGTTGGAAAGCAAAGAATTAAAATATATATATAATATGGAAAGTTGTAGAATGTAATGGAGAGTGGTGGAGAGAAAAAATATTTAAAACCCACGGATTTAAGGCAATGACATTATTTAAGACATTATTTCATTGTACTTGTGTGGAAGAAAAAATGAAGTACAAAAATATTTTACGGATACGTTTACAACCTTAAATATATTTACTGTATTTTAATAACTCTAGATTTGATAATATATTTCAATAATTAGGTATTTATCGTCCGTTTATTCCGAAAAATCATTATGTAACCTTTTATAAAATTAAATTAGTGAATAATTTGATAAATTTTCCCTTTGCGATATTCCAACAGAATCCACTTACAATCAGTGTGAAACTTTTGACCTGTCTATAACAGACAAGGCAGCAAATCTCCTAATTCCGGTTTAGTAAACTTTGCAATAGAAAATAACCGTTTGTTAACTCATAGTTGCACAATCCATAATCAACGAATGGTACAATCTATAATCAAGGAATTTTATAATCCATAATCAACGAGTGATATAATAAAAGATACTTTTGTTATTTTAATAGTATTTATGATTTGTTAGCAGCAATATTTTAGCTTTAGCTTAGTTAAAAATGCAATTCAAAAATTTGATAATAGCCCAACATGGCCAGAAAATAATTTCTATTCAAAGTTGAGCAGTAAGCAAAAGTTGTGTGTTGCGTGCACCAAATTTTTTCATTTAATAATTTTCGCCAAGTCACTAATGGCCACTTCTCTCAGAATTTCTAGTGCAATCCGACCTTTGAGATCTCGAAACTTTGCATCATCCAACATATCAATCAGCAAGCCATGTTTTTGAACATCTGTGATTTCTCCTTCCCCGTCCAACCAGAGGTGAAATCTCTCCAGATGTTCAACCCAGCTCGAGTAATCGTACTTGGGAAAGGAAATGGTGAAATTTTTTAGATGATACTAATGATGTAAACAAAATAACATACGTGACACTCGATACAAACACTTATCACTAATCTTCACATCCCGATCCCATCCTCATCATCATTTTTATGTTCTTCCTGGGGTTCATCAATACAATAAAGCAATGATCAGCACTGTATTACACTGTATTACACAAAGTATTAACATTAATAGTCCTTTATCTCCAATAAAGAAGGTAAAGAGTGCGTGAGCAGGGCTCTAAGTGATTCTTTTAGAAACTTGTTCAGAGTACTGAGGGTATGAATATATCAGAAGTCCTGACGTCTAGATGGTGAGCTGGGTAGGGGAGGGATATAAAACGTCACAATTTTTGGATTTTCCTTATCTTTCAAAAACAGTCCATCGCCGGGAAAATTTTTTGTA